TTTTCCTGTTGTGGCATGGCCCGCCACGGAGCCAACAGCAGGGAGTGTCCCATGTGTCATTGCCTCTTTTGTCGATTCTCATTAAAGGATGTGGAGGTGGGGATGACATCACAGAAGGAGAGTGATGACACATGCCAACTGTACGCCTGTGTGCCCCAGGCCAGCAGGCATGTCTATTTGTATCACTGAAGGCTCAGAAAGGTTCGCTAACACTGGTTGAGGTTATCAACTCACTACAGTGTAAGTTTCCAAATGTCTACCACACACACACGCAAAAAGAATTCCTTCCCCTCACACTTCATGACTGAGGCTGAACTGATGCTGCTGAGTTGTGTTCACCTTCAAGCACATAATTTCCTTTTTAAGCTCCCCCCACCAAAAAAGAAAAAAGAAAAACAAAAACAAAACCCAGAACCAACTGCGTACTCTGGAAGGCAGCCAATCTCCTCAGGGCACCTTCCTTTGTGACTTTATTGACTTCAGAAGAACCTGTTTTGAAGAACTGGTTAAACACTCGGTCCTCTGGCAAATTGTCCCTGTGTTGTTCTTTGTTTAGTGTATAATTAAAGATTTTTCCCATAATCAAGTTAAAGATATTTTTCCACTTCCTGGGCAAACGGCATTTCTAAGTAATTCTAAACACACACAGTCACTCCCAGGGATGAGAAAGTGTTTACGTCTTGATAACTGAGATCATGTTGAAGCCCTGGATGACCCTAAATATCAAATGCTCTTGCCTGGTTTCTGTCACCGTGGCGGCAGTACAGGCCTAAGTAACAGGCTGACGGTCAGATGGGGGATCCTAGCGACAGGTATCTATTGCTCTGGGTTAACACGGCCCAAGCAGTTGGAATTTCAGAGCCCAGCGCTTGCTGCTCTGAGGAAGGGCGGGTGTGGTGACCCCGCGACCCTGCTTGGGGGTCAGGCATTGGGAAAGTTTTCCTTTTGGGTATAGAACAGGAAATAGGGGGCTTGAGCACGGTATCACAAAGAGGTATCTGGGATTAAAGGACTGGGGAATAAAGAGCTCAATTAAAAAGCATTTAGGACAGGAAAGACAACGAAGGCAGTTGAAAGCATCCGTCTTGAAATGTGGGGCAGGCAGAGCCGGAGCACAGAGGGGCTCGGGGCAGCTCAGGCTGGGCAGAATGTGCAGCCACGGCTGTGCCCACGCCAGGGGTGGCAGGTCCAGAGCGAGCCTGCAGGCTGGAAGGAGGGGACCTGGAGCCAGAAAGCTGATTCCTAGTCGCTGGGGAGGTGGAAAACAAAACTGTCCTCTATTTGGGATGGAAAATAGAAGCAAACCCTTCAGAAGGAATGCGGCTTCCCTCTGGAGAATTGAATGCAGACCTTGGCCGACGCTGAGTGCTCCGTGACCTGCCCTCCGCGTGTCCTGGTGGCCAGGACCCCACAGCAGCACCTGCCTACAGGGCCAGAAGAAGTTGGTGGACTGAGTTGTTCTCTGGCCCCAGGTGTGAAAACTCTGGCCCCCAGGGAAACAGTGAATTTGGTGAAGGGACCACTGGAGGCCTGTAACACAGGTGGAGGACAGTCCTTAGAGGACGAGACCAGAAACCTTGCTTTCTGCTCTTGCCATGGGAGGAGATACAGGGAAAAGGAGAGCATTTTCCAATCACTCAGAGAACCCGTGCCAGGAATGGAATTAGCTGGCACCTTGACCGGGGCTTTCCAGCCTCCAGAACTGGAGGACATAAATGTCTCTTGTGAAAGGCCCACCCCCCCAGTTGATGGTAGTTTGTTGGAGCGGCCCAAGCTGACAGACAAAGCAGGCTCTGTAGGGAGCAGTTCCGCCACCCTGCAGGCCAGGTCCATGCCGCCTTCCCTGGGGATCCTCCTGTCACTCTCCCAGCAATGCTTCTCTCCCTTTCCTACAGTCCTGGGGCTGCACATCAACCATGGCGCTTACATTTCACACGCCTTTCCTGCAGTACTGACAGTTACTATTCATCAGCTCTGCCTGAGTTTGCCCGATCTCGGCGCTCCTTGGGCCAACTCACTTCTGATCCGACCCTGAGGCAGGGGCACCTCCTCGCCATCCCTATAGGGCGTCTGGACTTCATGTGGCAGGGCCCCAGCTGGTCCCCAGCCCTGGTTAAGGTACACCAGAGTGCCCTGTTCTTACGACCCGTTCTGGCTACCAGACGGGTTCTGCCATGTGGCTGCCTCCCATCCGAGAGCCACTGAGCAAAATAAGAGACCACAGGGGCTGGAGGTTCTGTTCAGGGCGCGTGGCTCCCACGTACGAAGCCCTGGGTTCAATCCCTAGCAACACAGAACACAAGACTAACAAAATGCAAGAGAAGAACCTTTTAGTATAACTGTGCCCCATGTGATATTTGGACACATTTACACTAAAAATTATTTTCCCTTTCTCTGAAAATTCAAATGGAAGTGAACATCCTATATTTTTTCTTACCAAAGCCGACAACTTTAGCTCAGGGCAAATGCCTGCTTTTATCCATCTAACGATTGATATTTTGGGTTAAAAGCCCAAATACAAGCTTTCGGTGCAGCAGGAAAGAGGACAGTATCAGATATCACTAAAACAAAACGGTTTCTGGACAAGTGGAACCTTCCAGGAGCGCAGCTGCAGCCCAGCCTACTCCGGGGGCACTAGGATCTCGTCCTGCAGAGCGGTCACCGCAGGGACGGCTGCGCTAGCATCACCCGGTACACAGCAGCGAGCGTGTGCAGAGTACCTACCGGGCGCTCAGCTAGGATTTCGAGTGAATTATTCAATGTCATCTTTACATCACCGTCACGAGATAGTTATCACCATGTCCTCACTTACAAGTGAAGAACGGGAGGCAAGCAGGAGGTGACGTGTGCCAGCCCTAATACACAACAGCGCCTCAGAGGGAGGACTGGGCCAATTCCGGAGTCCGCCCGATGGCTAGGCAACGGCGACAAGTGGGGCCGGGGAGGATTCCTTAATCGCCTCCTGCCCACAAGGCGCTGCTGCCTCACGGACGCTAGATGTGGAGTTGGCAAACCAGCCTGGAGCCAGGCCTGGCCTGCTGCCCGTGTGGATGCGACCGTGCCCGGGTGCTTACGTGCCAACTGTGGCTGCTTTAGCAATAACAGAATCTTATGAACCACAAAGCAGAGATGCTTAAAGTATGGCCCTCTGCACATTCTCCAACTTCCATGTGAAGACCACTGGATACTTCCCCTCGAAGCTCTGAGGAGGAGGGCTTTCCTCAACTTTAGAAAAGAATGCATAGGTTCGAAAAGCTGAGCTGCTTGCGCTAAGTAGTGGATGCTTGGATAACATACTTTAAAAAATTCGTATATCTCCATACAAGTCTGGTGTTTTCTGAAGTGACGGACACTGGGGAAAAAATGCTCTATATTTCCTTATTTCATAAAAGAAAAAATATGTTAATACCCAGAAATGGTGGGATGTAATTATCCACAGTCCTTCAGAATAGATTTAGGAAAATTTTGAATATCCTTTTTAATTCTGCAGAAAATAGGTAAGGATGTCACCATGGACTGGCATGAATTAAAAACTAATGGGCACTTGCTGGAGAATTCCAGTGAGGAAGTGTCAGAGCCACAGTACCTTGTAGGTCTAATGCCAAAATCATGTTCATGTTAGCGCTCTCTCTCTCTCTCTCTCTCTCTCTCTCTCTCTCTCTCTCTCTCTCTCTCTCTAGCTTTTGTTTTCTTTTTTTTTTCATGTATTTGGTACAGGTCTCACTACCAGCTCAGATTCATAGTGATCCTCCTGTCTCAGCCTCCCCAGCGCTGGGATTCAGGCATGTGCCACCACACCCAGACTCATCTCTAGCTCAGCACACCTGGGGGCACGGTGGTTTGGCATGCAGGACTGGGATCAAACCCTGGTCCCTGCGTTTGCCAAAGCAGGCACTTAATCTGCTGAGCTATCTCACCGGCCCTTATCTATCCTATCCATCCATCCATTCATCCATCTTCCTATCTAGCACCCTTGCACGAATTCTATCATCCCAGAACTTTTCACTAAGCACCTACTATGTGCAGGGTTCTTGGCTCGCACCAAGGATGTGATGAACCATTTTCCTACCTTTCTCTTACCATCACCCTCTTTCCTTCAGCTATTCCAATTGAAATAAAAAAATTCATATATCACAGATCAGTTAACCATTTTCTTGTTATGATAGCTTGGCCTGTGAGCTGCCGGGGAGAAACAGTATTATTATAGTATTACAGAATTATAGTATTATAGAATACTATATTATAGAATCTCTCTGTCTCTGTCTGTCTGTCTCTGTGTCTCTCTCTGTGTCTGCCTGCCTGCCTGCCCTCTCTCTCTCTCTCTCTCTCTCTCTCTCTCTCTCTCTCTCTCTCGGCTTCAGAGACTCATAGAACAAAAAGTCATTAAATTATTTCACCAAGCCGCAGAGACTGTCCACTCCAGAATTCTGAACTTTCAATATAATTGTTTGCACACAGGCCTTTGTGGCTTTACAGTTCTCTAGTGTATAAAACCCACATTCTGCCAATAACTACTTTAATTTTTTTATTCATTTGTCTTGGTCCTTTTTGAGACATGGTTTTGCTATGTAGTTTAGGCTGACCTCAAACTCACAGCGATCCTCCTGTCTCCTACCCCAGAGTGCCGGGATTACAGGTGCGCACCACCATGCCCAGAAAGTCTCTTTAATATCGTGCTGCTAGAAACTGTTCTTCCATTACAGTGAACTACCACAGATAAAGCAGTCAAACTATTTAAAAATGACAAGCAAAACTCAATTATGACAGTGACTATCAAAGAACTTTAAATATATTTTAAAAAAGAACTTTAACATATTTTTGAATAAATGAGAACATTCAAATTATTACATTATATGTAATTACGTAACAGCCTACATTTAAATATTTGATTCTGAATTATTCCTCCTTTTAAAAAATTACATTGATAAGACGAGTACAAGAAATGTTTCAATTACTCCACTGATCATAGAATATTTTTTAAAAGATTAAATGAAACTTACTGTGTATTCTGATTCCAGGTGTACATTTCGAGAAGAGGCAAAAGAAAAAGAGAGAGAAAATGATGATTTAGACCACATATATGCACTACAAGCCACAGCACTAACAACGACTGGTGAGTTACAATTATTATTAAAACTATGGTAAGGAAACCTTCCAAAAATTGGATTTTCATAAATACTGAGTGTCTTCGTGTTTACTGTGAAGCTTTTTCACACGACACTTTGGTGGCTGGGCAGATAAGGACAACAAGACAAAATTCAATTAGCCTACAGGTTTGGGGCCAATTAAAAACCCGAGAGTCAGCATTACAAAAGCAGAATTAAAGACTAATAACTCTGGAAGAGCATTTCATTAACCACAAAGAAAATCTTTTAAGTGGAAAAGCAGTTTTCATGACCCATACAAAGAGCTTGTGATGAGACTGATCTGGGGCCAGAGTGTCAGCGTGCTGGAGCGAAGAGGACAAGAGGACATCTTGAGCAGCCACAGTTTCTCACACGACATCCGGTGCAGAGAGGTGACTATCATTGCATTAGTGGGAAAATGAACTTAAATACTGCTTTATTATCCAAGAACAAAGGAAGTCCCTGAGGGTAGAGAGGCTCAGAAAGACTGAGATATACCCCCAAATCTTTTAAAAATTGCTTGTTCTTCAGACAGGATCTCACTAAGTTGCCCATACTGGGCTCAAACTTGCAGTCCTCCTGGCTCAACCCCGAGTGCTGTGATTACAGGCCTGTGCCACTACACACAGCTCAAGAAGAAACTTTTACAAGAATTATAATCAGGGTGAGGGATATAGCTGAGTGGCACAGGCACCTGCCTGGCAAGCACAAGGTCCCGAGTTTGATACCTGGTACCAAAAAATAATAATAATAATAATAATGATGATGATGATACAATCAATATTTTGGGGGAGGGAGCTATAAAACACACAGGTCAAAGTAAACAACTTGTTTACTGATAAATCATAGGGAAAATAAAACCTCTAGATCTGCCACTAAAAGAGAGCTCACTCTTCTGCTTCAGTCCGCCATCGAGCGCGTGCTCTCGCCTCCTAGCCGCACCATGTCTTCTCACAAGACTTTCAGAATCAAACGATTCCTGGCCAAGAAGCAAAGGCAGACTCGCCCCATTCCTCAGTGGATTCGAATGAAGACAGGTAATAAAATCAGGTACAACCCCAAGAGGAGACACTGGAGGAGGACCAGGCTAGGACTGTAAGGAGCTGCACATGAGCTGCGACCCATTTATCCTCTGGGAGCTCACAAGACGATGTCATCTTTTAATCATGGTCAAGACAGTACCGAATAAAGTTTTAAAAATAACCACTGCCCGGACAGTGGAATATACTTAATCAGGAATCTTATTTTTTTCTTTCTGTGATCAGTATTAAGTCAATAAATTTTTGAAAACTTAAAAAAAAAAAAAAAAAGCGCTTTTCCCTCTTTCTCTCTGGGTCCCATGGCCCTAACTCAGGAAATCCCCCTTCTGTCCCACCTTGCATCTACTCTGTACGGTTTTGCTAAGGACTTACCTGTAACTGTGTACGGATAATAGTTCCAAGCCTTCTCTGTCACGTAAAATATTTTTGGGACCACAGCTCTAGCCCAGCTAGGCAGTTTGCTAAGAAGGAAGAAAGAAAGAAAGATGATGATGATTAGAGTCGGCTCACAGTCTTATCGCACTACTACATTTTCCTAGAAAAATAGCTAGAGAAGGGAGAGGACCTCTCAGGCATTAGCACCCCTTCTTTCCAGGCCCACCCTTTCTCTACCTCTCTGGTCTCTACCATATAGTCCATCACTTCCTATGCATATTCATTCTCAAAATTCATAAAGGCAGAAGGCTGCAGTATTAGGGCCGGCCAAATAGCTCAGCAGATTAAAGCACCTGCAAACAGGCGCAGGGGCCCGGGATTCAATCCCCAGGCCTGCCGTGCCAGCCCCATCCCTGGGGCACTCTGAGGCGGCAATTGAGACTGGGTGCGGTGGCACATGCCTGTAACCCCAGCTCTTGGGAGGCTGCAAACAGGCGGATCACTATGAGTCTGATCTAGTAGTGAGATCCTGAACACCCTGTAGACCCTTCCCTAAAATAAAAAACAAAAAAACCAAAAAAAAGAAGTCTGCAGTCTGGTGTGGGGAGGTGTGGAGCCTAGGCGTTTACTAGGAGCTCAGTAGAGCATACTTCTGGTGGGGCTAGGTGGGATGTGGAGGAGGGATGACCTTGGGTAACATACATGGTTTCCAGCCAGTTCCCCCTGGCACTGTTCTGCTGCTCTGCTTCCTGGGCAATATAAACTAAGAATTTGTGCCTTGCTACCCTTCCATTATTGGGTTTGTTTTTCAGAGCCAGCTGACCATGGATCGAATCCTCTGAAACCATAAACCAAACCAAGCCTTTCCTCCTTTTTAAGGTGGGGGTGCTGGACAGTGCGTTCAGGGTGAGAAGCTGACTAGTGACAGGTGGCTAAGCCCAAAGGGGGGCACGTGTTAGAGGGAGGGCTCAGCTGAACAGTGCTTGGGAGCAGCCTTCAGAAAATGAACATGAGCAACAGAGTGTAGAGAGATGGCGCTAAGAGGGACAAAGCATCGCTCCTTGAGGGCTGAAGCATCTCAACTGGGTCCCCCGAGATGCTGTGTATACATCTTAGCCCCCAGTACCTGTGAATGTGATCTTACTTGAAACCAGGGTCTTTGCAGATGTAACTAACTTGAGGGATCTTGAGATAAAATCATCCTGGATTCGGGGTGCACCTTAATGCTAATGGCCGCATCCTTGTTAGAGAAAGGAGAGGAAGATTTAGGATTCAGAGACAGGTGGAGGGGAATCCATGTGAAGATACCAGCAGGAACTGGTGGGTACTGTTCTCAGCCAAAGAGCACTGAGGCTGGCTAGAGACGTTGGGAGCAGGGAGAGACTGCAGAGCAGAGGTCCCAAGGGTACAACACCTTGTTGTTTTTTTAACTTCTGGTCCCCACAACAGTGAGAGGATAAATTTAGGTGGTTTAAGCCACCTGGTTTACTGCCGTTTGTTGTGTCAGTGCTTGGGAGCTCAGCCACTGACAGAGCCACTCCTGTGGACAGAGGCCCTGACAGCCATTTGCGGAGGACAAATTCTCCAAAAGAACAGGTCCAAGGTCTTCCATAAACCAAATACTAATTAAGTTTGGTTTTCTTTCAGAGGTAAACCTTACAGCCTAGCGCTGGCCCGGAGAATTCTACAACTATCTCTTTTGCCATTTAAGGAACATAGGACCATTCCTTAGAATTGACCCGCATGATGTTACTCTCCCCCAGCGCTGCATCCAGCAGTGTTCTGTGCTCCCAGGGGCCGCCACGTTGCTCCTTTCCTGCTCTGGCGCCTCCAGCTAAGTCTGACACGTAATCTTCTAGAGTAGATAAGTCCCCCGCTGACGATGTAGGCACACAGCTCCACAGTGTACAGAACGTCGAGAAAGAGGTTTGAATTCCAGGCTGATATAACCAAGAAAAGAAGGAATCAAGCTAAAGGAGTGGGACCCTATTTAGTGACGCTAACATCCTCCTGGACATGGAATGCTGGTCCTGGGAATCGAACTCAGGACCTTGCACTTGCCAGGTAGGCGCTGTGCCACTGAGCTGCAGCCCCAGCCTGGTGTCTCTCATTTTTGATGGTATCCAGGCCCAGCTTTTGAAAAGACAGGTGCACAGCTTCAATGGTGAACCAGACCCACCCAAGAAGTGGGCTGAGTCAGAATTACAGTAAATGGAAAATCAAAGCTCCTCCGAAGCTGACTGAGAGTCAGCTGACGGCTGTTAGCCTCGGGTGGGCCGCGGGGAGGGAGGCAAAGCTGTCTGAAAATTCACAGCGGACGTCTTGCTGCCAGGATGCAGCGTCTCTCGCTCCGGGGAGTCATCTCCGCAGCAACTGCTCGCTTCCCTTACGCTCTCCCACTTCTGGGAGCGTGAGCCGCGCCCTGACAGGGCTTTTACAGCTTCTGCTGGGGACTGACGCCATCGGTCACTGATGCTGGAGTCAGGCTGAGGCTGGAAGCTGATGCGGACTGGGAAGACCCCGCCGGCCGGCTCGCAGGAAATGGATGGGGGCAGACCCCCGGGCCCTCCTGTGCGCCCACACCCCAGCGCGGCTGCCAGGGGCCGCTGCGGGCAGATGGGGTGCTGGCCACAGGCAAGTGTTCGCTCGTGTTATTAATGGACTGAAACAAGGCTGGAGACTCCGGACTGCAAGCGAGGCGCTGTTCAGCTTAGACGACACGCACACAGCTCCCCACCGGGCTGGGGTGGTTTTCCACTGTCCTCTTGTGCGGAGGGAGGGTTCTCTCAACACATCAGGCCCCTCTTGTGTAGCACTCTGCGTAATTCCTTCCCTCGAGCATTTAAAAATCCTGCCAGCAGAACTGCATTCCTCAGTAACAATCATTTTTCTGGAAGAAAGATGCAAACCACTAGCAATTTTCCATTCACACCGAGACTCTTGCTGTTCGCTGCTGATCGGGACTTCTGGTTCTGGATTCATTTTAGTTTATTTATTTATTTATTTATTTTTAATGTGTTTAGTACAGGGTCTCACTACACAGATCAGACTGGTAGTGATCCTCCTGTTTTCAGCCTCCCAAGCGCTGGGATTACAGACAGGTGCCACCACGTCCAGTCTCAATCCCCATCTCAGCACGCCTGGAGGTGGGGCTGGCAGGGCAGGCTGGGGATGGAACCGGCTCCCTGAATCTGCCTAAGCAGGTGTTTTAATCCACTAAGCTATCTGGCTGGCCCTTAGATTCTTCATTTTAGTTGTTTTGTGCACCAACTCGTGAATGATAGGCAGCCTTACAAACAATTATTTGACCAACAATTTGCCAATGAGAGGACCTAAAAAAATACAGTCACTTTAGCCAAAATGCTGCTATGACTTTATGTTACTCTTCTAACAGCCTGGGAAAGAGAACTTTCTGGTAGAAGCCATGGACTGACTAGGGCAACTATCGAGGCGTCTGCAACAAGTCCCATGATACATTTGCTATAGTTTGAATGTTAAACGACACCATGTGAGAAAGGTGGGTCCCCAGGGCAGCTGGATGGCTTGCATCCGGATGTCCCCCCAGAGCCTCCTGCAGTCACATGCTTTTACAGAGGTGACAGGATATAGAGCAGGTGATGCTGGGATTAAGGGTGTGTGATTACCAACCCCTCTTCTGACTGGCTTGGTGCCACCCTAATCCCAGGAGCCTACATATGATATAAAAGGGCCAGACAAATGCTGTGCAGGTGCCCTGCTTGCTTGCTCACTCGCTTTTGCTGTGCCCTCTGCCCACCATGAGCTCTTTCTCCTCTGTGATGCCTCTCCTGCTCCACCCTGCCTTGGACCCACTGACTGTGACCCGCTGATTGTGAACCCTCTACAACCTGTGGGCCAAATAGACCTTTCCACTTTTAACTCTGGGTGTTGGATATCTCGACTGAGCAGTGAGTAAAGTGACAAAGACAGCAGCTTTCCTCCAAGTTGGTAGGACTGCTATACGGCAGGGTCCGCTGGGAGGTCCTTGGTCATCGGGGTTGAGCCTTTCCAAGGAGCTTGGGGCCTGGGCCCCTTCCTCGTCACCCTTTGCTCCTGGCCACAGTGCTCCCCTCTCCTACACTGTGACCCGGCACATCCACCAGAGGCCTAAAAACCGTGGGCCCAGCCCATGGCGGCCTGAAACCTCCAAAACCATGAGCCACAATGAATCTTTTCTCTTTATATGGTCATCATCACAGGCATTTTGCTGAGTGACAGAATGAATGGTGACTCACATGACACTATTCCAGGGCTCTGAAGCCCACTAACAGACCTGCTTTTAGCCCCCTTTCCCGAGAATACATCATGATTTGAATCATTTTTGTGAAAGCAAAATTTATTTTTCCCTACTGCCGTGATTTATCAGGACCTACAAAGGAAAATGGAATTAAATTAGTCTCCACTATGGCTGTCACTTTGGTGATGTATACTGTCACACAGCCTACAACTCTACGGAAAAGCCTGTCACTCAAACTCACTACCAAGTGTCAAGAGCCTTTCTTCTAGAAAGGCAGAGAGTTTGAGCCGAATCCTCAGTCCATGCAGGGGGCAGGCACAAACCTCTCCGTAGCCCATCTTGCCAAGGCCCTGGCTTTAAAGACCTTTAAACTCTAAATGCTTTCTAGAATCTGAAAACATGAACAAGGAATGCTACTGTATCTGCATCACACACCCCAAGGCATCTCAATTTAAAAAAAAAAAAGCCTCTAAGCACAGACTTCCAAATGTTTGATTTCTTACTTTTACACTATAGTATGAAAGGTAAAGTATCAATGACACAGTCAGGCGTCCGGCTCATTGTGGTTCTGCTTCAGCACTGAAATTCTCTCGTACCAGGAGGTTCCGCAGTTGCGGGCACCGCTGGTCATCCGACAGCAGTGGTTCTCAGTGGAGCGTGGGCTCGTCCCCTACCCCCAGAGACACTGTGCAGAGCCTGAAGTGTTTTGATCGTCTGCACTGGGACGGGTTCAGGGGTTGCTGTTAGCAACAGACGCGGGGGAGGTCAAGGACGCCGGTCAACATCTCTCACGCACCAGAAAGCTCCAGCTGACAAAGTATCTGGCCAAAG